GACACGACACGACGACGACACGACACGGGGGACACGGGGGGGACCACAAACAAAACACACAAAAAAACCCAGCCTAAACAAGAAAACTGGGTCATACAAATGATGCAAGAAACTGTTTTAGAAGATTTCCATCCAAAAAGATGCACTCATTCCAGAGATACTCCTAACAGATTAACTGGCAGACTGTAGAAGAATTAAGACAGATGGTTCTGCTCTTTCATGCCTCACAGTCCAGCTGCTAACTGCAAGCATCAGCTGCCCCAGAAGCAACAATAGGTAAATAACTCTTTAAATGCAGAAAGAAGCCACAGGAGCCTCTCCAAATCCATTTGAAGTTACACTTAAAAATAACAACACATAACGCTCCCGCTCTAGAAAAACGTACACCACAAGGGACCATAAAACCCATGCCTAGAACTATCACGTAAATTACTAATGCAAACAGAGTTAAAGTCCTGGAAGCACAAATTACTGTCAGGAAAGGGAAAGATGGAATATTGTAGCAAAATACAGTCATTCCTGAGCACTCTAGAAAAAAAACAAAAGGGGGGTGGGTGCGCACTGGCAACAAACTTCGCTGCTGCTATCCTTCATTCAACAAACCAGCCAAGAAATAAAAATAACTAGATGAACAAATGGTCTCTTCCCATAACCCTAGCCACGTGCCAAACCAAGGAAACTCTTCCTCCTCAGAAGTCCACCATGTATCTAAAAAACTAGGAATGGAGTAAAATTTAGGCAATGGTTTAAGGCATATAAAATTCAACAATGCATCACTCTTCTGTAAGCCTGTTTCAGAGGTGACATTCAACTAAACTCCAACCACGCTCTCCCAAGAGAACTAGGAAAGCAACGGCCCCACACAATCCCATATATCCAACTCCTTTTCTGTAACAAATCCTTTGCAATTGTGCCATAACGCCATACAGACAACTCTGAGGATGTGAGGAGGGGAGACAGGGAAACCTAACTTTTTTTAATCTCACTGGTTACCATCTCATTCAACTTCAGACAAGTCACGTGCATTCATCTCTTACACAGCTAGACACAAATTTCTGTTTACGTGTAATATTATGCCTAAATGTGAGAAAACGCAAACACACACACTGCAGCCCTTTGGCCCAATTTGAAGATTCAGAACACATGAAGGAACTGTATCTTACCTCAGGATGAATTAAAGGGCCTGGCTAAGCATAAAAAGAATCATTAATTGTCCACGAAAAAGCAAATCTGGCCATGCATAAGAGTCATCATACTGTTGCTCCAAAGCAAAAGTGGCAAGCAGCAGTCTGATGGCGAAAGAAATTTGACCCTTTTCTCCTTGGGTTAATAAGCGTGGATTGGGGGGAAAAGGAAAATTATGAATCTGAATGAATCAAAGATATGGATGGTGGCTTTAAGCAGAGAACCCTAAGAGTAGATTAGGTTCCAAACTCAACCCAAAATGTAATGGCTGGATGAGAGCCAAAGACCTTGCCAGGAACTCTTGAGACTATTCAGTTGAATCATTCAGATAAGACTCTTTAGACCTAATTCAAGCATGAGACATACACACTTTTCATTTATTTGAAATTCATCTGTTCTTACAGATCTGGAAGTTGTAATTCCTATCTCCATTTTATGTATAAATACTTGCATTTGATTTAAGTTTAATATGATCTGCATTACATTAAGAAAGGTTTCAAATCACTGACACAAACCTAAAAAAAGAAGAGGCAGAGTACTTAGACGATCCACCTCACCTAGAAGACTACAAGGCCCAAAAGTCTCACTGTCATACATTTAATAAATAGCAGCTTTTTATCACTTGACCCAGAGACTCTTCACATGCCTCGAGCTCTAAAGGGATCAATAATAATCAGAACCTACCTGCAAAAAATTAACAGGAAAACTCACTTACCAAGCATTTACAGTGAGTTTATCCCGCATCAGCATTTACAGGCTGCTTTCAGGCATCAGGGTTTGCTCAATTCTTTCCCCACAAACAACCCAAAGCCACCTCACCAAGTTATCTAGACACCGTATTCAGGCTTCTGAATCCCAAACAATAGCAAAGACACCGACAGCTCTAGCAAAGGAATCTGAGAACCAAGAATCTTTCTTTCAAGCCACGTACCAGCTCTGATATTAGTCAGCTTCCTAAAAATGCCCGATACTAAGCAGCTCCAAATCTTTTTACATAAATGGTTTTAAATGTACTCAGCTATAGAACAGAATAACATGTGCAGTGTTCCACTTCACATTCAGTTCTGATTGCAACAGAGCCCCAGTAGTGTCATCATACCTAATTCTGCAGCAGATTTGATGTCAACATTGTCATAGCCACTGCCAATACGCACAATGACCCTGAGGGCTTTGAATTTCTCCAGATCCTGACGAGAAAGGGTAATGGTGTGATACATCAGTGCTCCCACTGCCTCATTCAGCACCTACAATAAAAAAACAGTCCAAATCAATCTCTGCTTTGGTTACTCTAAGAGGCAGAGCTCTGTGAATGCTTGCACATTTTCTTGCCCACCTTTTCATGGATTTCCTGAGTTGACTGAGCATCACAAAATGCCACTGTAGCAACATCCTTCAAGATGGGCATCTCCACCGTGCAATCTCGTCCATCCAGGAGCGCAACCAGTGGTCGTGCTGGCATCGGGCCATTCACAATA